AAATATTATGTCTAATATGAAAACTTAATATTGTAAATATTATAGAATATGATATAGAACGTATGGATTTATTGGAAGTCAACCATCCTTAAACAATCCAGACTTTGGTAAATCATTGATAAATATTTAACGAGAGCGATTATTAGTAAGATGTGCAATTCTTCATTGTGAAAGTTTATTTGGATACAAGTTTTTATAAGATTATCGTAAAACATCTGTATTATACAAACATATAGATATCATCTGGTTCACATCACCTGTGATTTATAAATATTGATCAAACAACGTAAACTTATTTTATCATTTCCGTGGATATAGCTTTCTTTCTTCGATCTGTCATGTCTGTGTGAATCAGTTTTTAAAGATAAATTGATCTTGAAATTTACGGAAATTATTCTGGTGTTTTTCAGCTTGATTGAACACTACAAACATAATTTAGATAGATTTTCAGCTACTTTCTTTTGATAGAATGACAGAATTTGAGTGAATTTAAATTAAGTTGGACTGACATTATGAATGTGAATTTTGAAGATAATATATCTTCCTGAGTTAATTGACCACCTGGATAATTTCTGAAGGATAATTAGACAGTTCTTAAAGTAAGTTTTCAGCTAAACATACTGTTTAAGTTCATGAACACCTGAAAAAACAGGAAGAAAATTGATAAAAAAAGTTTACTTCTGAAAGTTTTTATTGTTTTCTCAAGGTTACATTCTTATTATTTTGTTTGTAGCTAAGCTAATCAGCATGTAGTTTTTGTTCACACACTGACATAGCACTTTGATCAACGACGTCAGATTAATTGTAAACAAAAATTGAACTGTTCTTTTTTAAGTTACAACAGATGAAACATAAAAGGTTATCAAAAGAATTATGTTTTTGGCACCTGTACTTGGCTAATTTAAACTTAACTCCTGTACCAAGTCAGGTTTATCATACTCAACTTCCTTTTAATTGGTCAGTTGATTCATCAGTAAAGGTTGGAAGTTTTTGAAGTTTTGGGGTCAGAGATAGAATGATACAGACTTTATATTGACCTTTTATTAAGTCCTTTGCTTTTTGTTTGTATTGTTGGGTTGCTGTCTAATTAACATTTCCCCCCCCCCCCCCCCCCGTTTAATTAGGGTTAAGTAAACTAGTTATTTGTCACATTATTGATGTGATAAAGGTTACACAAGGTTGTGCTATGATTCTTCCTCACAGCTTTCTAAATATAAAAAAATTAAAATCTGTTGTACACTTTTCTCTCAATATTTGATGTACATTTCTGTCTCTACACACTTTTCATTTGTAAAAAAATAGAATTTAGCTAAAAACATACTCAACAGTTGAAAGAATTACTGATATTGCATGTGGGGAAAGATTGACATTATTAGGTGATTACCTGTCAAATTAACTTCCCTACCAAGATGTAATCAGGATTGATATAACACCTTTATCTATGATACTGCCAAAGATTCTGACATACAAAAGTTAGAATATATCAGACAATGTATGTCCTTTTTTACAACAATGTTGAACATTTTATGCCACTTCATTGGTAGTTCTGTTAGAGAAAGTAAGTCCTTCGAATGTTTATACATATTGAATTATTATATCTTTTGTCTTTAGACCTGACCTGCATACCAGGCATTTGCAGTTCAACTGTTGTGTATTCATAGGCTGATTATGAGGGAGGTGGCACATTCCCCCCTTCTGGAGCTTCATATAGGGATAACACAGACATTTTACAAATCCCATTCCTAACATTGCCGTGGTGCCCTTCCCCTCCCTAAAATACAGTTGAACCTGCATATAAAAATAACCATTAGGACTTAGTGAAAACTGACCGTATGAAAGAGGTGTCATTTGAATTGAGGTTCAACCAGAAGAGTCTGACCTCTGACAAGATATGTTTTTGCTTAATAGAGTTGACCTTTATAACATGTTTGACTCTATTTGATAAGCCAGCTACAGTATAATATTGACAAGATCTGATTATTTATTGTAATCAGCCTTTCCTTCTGAATAAATACTAATGTAGTCTCATCAGGTCAGTAGTATTCTGGTTGATATGAAAAATAATCTCCCTTTGGAAATAAATAATTACTTTTAATTTAATAAAGTAATAAAAGAAATGTCATGTGGCTGCAGCTGTACACAATGTGAATTCCCTGAATAGAGAAATGAAACTGTAATACAATATCTACTAGGGAAAAGCAATACAATTAATTGATTTTTAATAAAATGTTAGCCGATTATTAATTTTGATGGATTTAAGTTTTTCTTGTCATTTTATCAATAGTTATTTGGATAATTAGTTGACTTTAAAAGTACCTTGCTTTTATTCCAGTCTAATGCATTTTCTTAACATTGCCTCTAGCATGTAACTGCATAAAACCGTGACGTTTTCTTAATTGTCCACACTGACAGTATGAAAGGAATAAAGGCTCTTAGGATTTAAAATGTATTTAAGTCTTTAAGGTAAAGGTAGGATATGTCTGGTGTTCTATAAAGTAAACTTCTGATGCATGTTGGATATTATAAAAGTTTACTACATATACTTGAACATGTATATATGGAGTTTGGTAAGTAGTCCTGAAGGAGTTAGTACTGGGTCAACTTCACAGGTATGTTGAAGGGGAGAAAACGTGTAATTAATTATCTCTATAAAGTCAAGTGATCTTCGTTTTTTTTTTTATTTTGTTTATAATTAGAATTTAAATGGATTTTGACATCTTTGATAATAAATTCAAGATAACAATCGTTTTCACCTGTCAATGCCATGTGCTGTCCAATGATAATGTCTACTTTATACTTCTTATCCTTACATGTAAAAGTTAAAGAAAAATGTATTTCATGTTAACATATCTTCATTATAGTGATTTCTCTAATGAGAAAACTTAAAATTACAAATATCTTAAATTGAAGTTTTGTACACAATTTTACTTCCATTTTGAATTTGTCTAATATTTGTTCCCATCCTTGGACAGTATTGCTGCAAACAAAACAAATGGAAATCTGAAGTACATGTATAAAATTGAGAATGGAAATGGGGAAGGTGTCAAAGAGACAAAAACCAGACTAAAGAGCTGAAAACAGCCAAAGTCCACAAATGGGTCTTAAACACAGCAAAAAAATCCTGCATGTATATTAAATTTTACAAGATTTTTAAGTGATTGGATGCATCTTATTTTAGAAAATTTTCTTCACGCTAAATGTACAGAGACAAAAGGTCGGTTGTAGTAACAGCTCAATTAAATTTTGTGAAACATACCGTATGGGACTCGACATTTCTTTAAGTTAATTGTGTTGTTGGTTTGCTGTCTCATTGAAGTATACCACACATCTCCTTAAATGTTCATACGAAAAAAAGTAAAATTTAGAAGATTCTTTAGGCTGAGCATAGTTTGTTCTATCATTTTTGTTTTCAAATATTTGTAAACTATTGTGAAGTTTTGGATTTTATTCCTCTACAACTTTGATTGATTTGACCTTCCGACTGTTTAGGATTGTTACTGATGAGTGTAATATAAAATCATAAGCCTTGGTATCTTTGGTCAATGTGTAATGCTTTTTCCAAAAAGTTTGTTTTTATAATTGTGAGTTTTAAATCCTCCAGAACAAAAAGTTAACAAACAAACAAACAAACATCAGCAGTAATCAACGACATGATGTTAATAAGGATGTTATACCAAAAAAAATGCGGGGGAAAAAACCGTGTTGAAAACGGAATGACACAGGAAATCGTAACATTTCCTCCCTAACATTTGAAACATCAAGTGAATAAAAGAGATTATATCTAGCAGTTAATTATAAAGTAAGTTTTAATTGATTATAGATTTATTTGATCTTTTACACTTAAATATCACATTTATTAGTTTTAACCTGGGTCTCCAGGAAATAGATGATGTCAAGGTAGAATCTATTTTGCAGCAATACCAAGTATATTTTTCATTGAAACTCAGTAATCTGATAGTCATATGACAATGCCATCATGTGACTAAAAAAATTATTTTTTATTTTTTATTATCCAGGGAAGCACAAAGACTATATAACAGGGTATGCTTCCATGATATTAAGTCTTTTGATGCTACATGCTTCATCGGCATGGGTTGTACAGTGCAAATTTAATGGGATTTTTTTTTAGCAGTAATGTTTACAATATTATAGTATGTGCAGAAGCCAAATATTATATGTGGGTATAATGTTATACTAATCACCCCTTCCTGATCGTCCACCAAATGACATGTTATTATTATATCATTAACAAGCTTGTGGTATGATTGCCAATGAGACAACAACCCAACTGAGTCCAAATGACTGGATTTAAGTAATTAGATCAGCCTTCAACAATGAGTAAAACCCATACACATCTCTTTTGTGTAAAGAAGTGGCGGTTGATATATTACTTAGACAGTACAGTAACCCAAAATTAACGATGTCTTTTGAAAGATGCAATATAAATGCATACTTTGAATTTTCTTGTCAATGTTTATTTTCAGATAAGTCAGGATTTCTGGATAAAGTTTCCAAAAATCTATTTATGTTGGAAGATAAATGTTGGTTCTGACAGTTTACATGTGTAACAAATTAGCTAATTTTGTAAAATACCGTTGATGTAAAGAACCATTATAAAGTCTATTTATCATAGTCTGTCAGTTTGGTTCAGATGAGGTGATTTCTTACCAAGGATAAGCTATATTTGGCTATGGGAAGAAGTATTGAAATACTATTGACTTTATGCTTGACAGGGTAGTATTGCTTATCTCTTGAATAAGATAAACTCAAAATGTCCAATTTTGCACAACTAATGTTAAGTAGTCTAATTTCTCTTAACATTGTTTCCTGAAAAGAAGGATACTAAAACAATTCAATTCATGAGAGCAAAATGTAAGGGAGGCTTGAGGAGTACCATTATTTGTCATGATTTCTATAATTATTTATTCATAAATACAGTAGATTATACCGTAAAAACAGCTAATGGCATGCTCAGTTTTAACCAGTATTATTGTGTAGTTCTTCCATTGACTGAACAGGTACTGCCTGTAGAGCCTATGTAAATGTTAACCAAGTTCCATTGACAGGATTTCAGTAAGGAGGAGTAGACCTTCATATCTTATCATAATATTATCATTGACAGGACTTTAGTAAGGAGGAGTAGACCTTCATATCTTATCATAATATTACCATTGACAGGACTTTAGTAAGGAGGAGTAGACCTTCATATCTTATCATAATATTATCATTGACAGGACTTTAGTAAGGAGGAGTACACCTTCATATCTTATCATAATATTACCATTGACAGGACTTTAGTAAGGAGGAGTACACCTTCATATCTTATCATAATATTACCATTGACAGGACTTTAGTAAGGAGGAGTAGACCTTCATATCTTATCATAATATTACCATTGACAGGACTTTAGTAAGGAGGAGTAGACCTTCATATCTTATCATAATATTACCATTGACAGGACTTTAGTAAGGAGGAGTAGACCTTCATATCTTATCATAATATTACCATTGACAGGACTTTAGTAAGGAGGAGTAGACCTTCATATCTTATCATAATATTACCATTGACAGGACTTTAGTAAGGAGGAGTAGACCTTCATATCTTATCATAATATTACCATTGACAGGACTTTAGTAAGGAGGAGTAGACCTTCATATCTTATCATAATATTACCATTGACAGGACTTTAGTAAGGAGGAGTAGACCTTCATATCTTATCATAATATTACCATTGACAGGACTTTAGTAAGGAGGAGTAGACCTTCATATCTTATCATAATATTACCATTGACAGGACTTCAGTAAGGAGGAGTAGACCTTCATATCTTATCATAATATTACCATTGACAGGACTTCAGTAAGGAGGAGTAGATCTTCCTATCTTATCATAATATTACCATTGACAGGACTTCAGTAAGGAGGAGTAGATCTTCCTATCTTATCATAATATTATCATTGACAGGACTTCAGTAAGGAGGAGTAGACCTTCCTATCTTATCATATTATTACCATTGACAGGACTTTAGTAAGGAGGAGTAGATCTTCCTATCTTATCATAATATTATCATTGACAGGACTTTAGTAAGGAGGAGTAGACCTTCCTATCTTATCATATTATTACCATTGACAGGACTTTAGTGAGGAGGAGTAGACCTTCCTATCTTATCATAATATTATCATTGACAGGACTTTAGTAAGGAGGAGTAGACCTTCCTATCTTATCATAATATTATCATTGACAGGACTTTAGTAAGGAGGAGTAGACCTTCCTATCTTATCATATTATTACCATTGACAAGACTTAAATAAGGAGGAGTAGACCTTCATATCTTATCATAATATTATCATTGACAGGACTTTAGTAAGGAGGAGTAGACCTTCCTATCTTATCATAATATTATCATTGACAGGACTTTAGTAAGGAGGAGTAGACCTTCCTATCTTATCATAATATTATCATTGACAGGACTTTAGTAAGGAGGAGTAGACCTTCATATCTTATCATAATATTATCATTGACAGGACTTTAGTAAGGAGGAGTAACCTTCATATCTTATCATAATATTATCATTGACAGGACTTTAGTAAGGAGGAGTAAACCTTCATATCTTATCATAATATTACCATTGACAGGACTTTAGTAAGGAGGAGTAAACCTTCATATCTTATCATAATATTATCATTGACAGGACTTTAGTAAGGAGGAGTAGACCTTCATATCTTATCATAATATTACCATTGACAGGACTTTAGTAAGGAGGAGTAGACCTTCATATCTTATCATAATATTACCATTGACAGGACTTTAGTTAGGAGGAGTAGACCTTCATATCTTATCATAATATTATCATTGACAGGTCTTTAGTAAGGAGGAGTAGACCTTCATATCTTATCATGATATTATCATTGACAGGACTTTAGTAAGGAGGAGTAGACCTTCATATCTTATAATATTATCATTGACAGGACTTTAGTAAGGAGGAGTAGACCTTCATATCTTATAATATTATCATTGACAGGACTTTAGTAAGGAGGAGTAGACCTTCATATCTTATCATAATATTATCATTGACAGGACTTTAGTTAGGAGGAGTAGACCTTCATATCTTATCATAATATTATCATTGACAGGACTTTGGTAAGGAGGAGTAAACCTTCATATCTTATCATAATATTATCATTGACAGGACTTTAGTAAGGAGGAGTAGACCTTCATATCTTATCATAATATTACCATTGACAGGACTTTAGTAAGGAGGAGTAGACCTTCATATCTTATCATAATATTATCATTGACAGGACTTTAGTAAGGAGGAGTAGACCTTCATATCTTATCATATTATTACCATTAACAGGACTTTAGTAAGGAGGAGTAGACCTTCATATCTTATCATAATATTACCATTAACAGGACTTTAGTAAGGAGGAGTAGACCTTCCTATCTTATCATAATATTACCATTGACAGGACTTTAGTAAGGAGGAGTAGACCTTCATATCTTATCATAATATTATCATTGACAGGACTTTAGTAAGGAGGAGTAGACCTTCATATCTTATCATAATATTATCATTGACAGGACTTTAGTAAGGAGGAGTAACCTTCATATCTTATCATAATATTATCATTGACAGGACTTTAGTAAGGAGGAGTAAACCTTCATATCTTATCATAATATTACCATTGACAGGACTTTAGTAAGGAGGAGTAAACCTTCATATCTTATCATAATATTATCATTGACAGGACTTTAGTAAGGAGGAGTAGACCTTCATATCTTATCATAATATTACCATTGACAGGACTTTAGTAAGGAGGAGTAGACCTTCATATCTTATCATAATATTACCATTGACAGGACTTTAGTTAGGAGGAGTAGACCTTCATATCTTATCATAATATTATCATTGACAGGTCTTTAGTAAGGAGGAGTAGACCTTCATATCTTATCATAATATTATCATTGACAGGACTTTAGTAAGGAGGAGTAGACCTTCATATCTCATCATATTATTACCATTGACAGGACTTTAGTAAGGAGGAGTAGACCTTCATATCTTATCATAATATTATCATTGACAGGACTTTAGTAAGGAGGAGTAGACCTTCATATCTTATCATAATATTATCATTGGCAGGACTTTAGTAAGGAGGAGTAGATCTTCATATCTTATCATAATATTATCATTGACAGGACTTTAGTAAGGAGGAGTAGACCTTCATATCTTATCATATTATTATCATTGACAGGACTTTAGTAAGGAGGAGTAGACCTTCATATCTTATCATAATATTATCATTGACAGGATTTCAGTAAGGAGGAGTAGACCTTCATATCTTATCATAATATTATCATTGACAGGATTTCAGTAAGGAGGAGTAAACCTTCATATCTTATCATAATATTATCATTGACAGGACTTTAGTAAGGAGGAGTAGACCTTCATATCTCATCATAATATTATCATTGACAGGACTTTAGTAAGGAGGAGTAGACCTTCATATCTTATCATAATATTATCATTGACAGGATTTCAGTAAGGAGGAGTAGACCTTCATATCTTATCATACTATTACCACTTACAGTGGATTTATAATTATTTGTTGAATAAACATAACTTCCTATTACAATAAGGTTTTAGTCCATTTAAAACTGTTTTATGTCAATAAAGAGATGATCAAATAAACTGTTTGAAGTCAATAATATAATTAAAGAGATGATCCAATATTTTGTTGTTATTCTGCAGAAGTGTAAATGATTTGGCATATTACATATGTATTTACTTTAATATAGAGATAACTGTTTTACTTTATTTATTAAGATTCGATAGTTTTCACAAAGTAGGAAGGGATTGGGTTCTATTTAATGTTGACTATGTAAACACAAACACTCATCATGCAATAATGGTGGGGAGGACAATAGACGAGTGTGCATCAGATGACAGTCCCAAAACTACTGGGAAATAACCATTTAGATTAAAGGAACAAACTTCTATGTCATTTGGTCTCTTAAGTGGAGAGTTGTCTCATTCAGGTCTTCTTATTTTTATGAAGTTTTTATTGTCATTCTTCATCATAAGTCACTGGATGAGTTTTCATCAATGAGCTGACAACCGCTTTTAGTTATAGTACTGAGATCAATACTATGTTTAAGATAGACAGAGTATCTACAGTTAACAAGTATTAAATATAGATGAGATGTTAGTTTTATGTCATTGAGATTCTCAGCTGCAACCCAACATCACATAAGAAAGGAAAACCAAAGACATTGTATTTTAGTAAAAGAGCATTAACTTGAGAAGAGAAATTCTGTATGTACAGTGCTGGGTCATATGTACATTATTATGTTAAATTTCTTGTGTAATTTAATGTCTTTGACATGTGACCCTTCATTAATATTCACTACCTTGTTACTGTTGATGGGCAGTTCACCAAGTTTTACATAAATCTGTTTTACCCTCAAGGTGTTTTATTTATATAGTTGACATGGAGTTAGGAGGTAATTATTGATTGATTGATTGACAGGTAAAACTACCTGTCATAAACAACTAAGTTAGTTAATTACCTGTCCTGTTTACATTAGAAATTAATTTTTAATCACAAATCTCATAAGGTATGACAAATTGATCAGCCAAAGTTAGAATGTATTGTTAATACCTTGTTCCTTAACTTAGTGCTTTTCATTAGGATGTTCAAACCCAGCCAGGAGTTCAATGAATCTTTTCACTTAGAAAATTATGCAGGAAGTAATTAAAATTTGACTTTTTAATTGGACAACAACCATATAATATACTGCAATATTCTGTCTGATAAAGGTTCTTGTCCACTTGCTGAAAAGTAAACAAAAAAGTTGAGTTCTCTATAATATCAGTAAATTTGGTGAGTAGATACATGTATAACATAGATAGCCCACGTAAAAGATTGATATAGTGAAGTCAGTTGAGAGGATATACATGTAATAGGAAGAACATTTGGTTAATCTTTAAAGGGTCTGATGAAATTTACTACATAAAGTGCAGTTGTACAAACTGGTATGACGAAACAATATTATCTTTAAAAAAAGAAAAGCCCTTTAGGCCATATTTTACCTAGCAAAGCCTAACCGAAAAGAAATTTGTACTATTAGGATTTATAGAAATAATCATACATGCATGCAGCTACACAATACTAGACTCTGGAATGACTGCATGACTCGAAGGAAGGACTGTCAGATACAATCAAATTATTGGGAGCATAAAAAGGAACAGGCATTAACATTACATTCTTTAAAATATGAATAAAACTTCAAACACTAAAGACAATTTAATTGATCTTAATATTTTTCATTTGTTTTGTCATGGGATACATGAATATTGTCTTCAAGAATGTACTTTACAAGTTAATTAAATTCTGGTGTACATGAGAGAGATCTGAGTAGCTGATGAAATGATTCACTGTTGGTCTGGTTTGTTTTATAGAATGTTACCCAGTAATCATATGATGAATAATTGTAATGGAAAATTGATCCTTGGAGACATTCAAATTAGATAATAGATAATAAAAACTCATAATCCGTGACATATTTTACCAAGATGATATAGGAAGAAGTCTTCATTACAGAAGAAAAATCAATAAACAAGTGTATCCCAAACTTTCTATGTTCTATCTTTCCCATATATTCACAGGGAGAGGGTTTGGAGCCCGCAAACACTGTTTAACCCTGCCACATTCTGTATGTGCTTGTCTCCAAGTCAGGAGCCTGTAATGAAGTGGTTGTTTGTTGCTGTATATCATATTTGTTTTTATACGCCCGTTCCGTTGACCGTCTGTCCATCCGTCGTCAACATGTCGGACATTAATTCAAAAACACTTTAACCAATATGCATGAAACTTTGGTGAATTGTTTATATCTATTGATGTGAGCTCCCTTTTGTTTATTATAAATTTCAGATTTACCGTTTCCGAGTTTTGGGGTTTTATTCATTAAAAAAGGTTTTTTTTTCCAGATTTCGGACAATAACTCAAAAACAATTTCACCAATTTGCATGAAACTTTTGTGAATTGTTTATATCTATTGACCTGAGCTCCCTTTCATTTTTTATAAATTTCGGATTTACTGTTTCCAAGTTTTGGGGTTTTATTCATTAAAAAAGGGGGGATTTTCCAGTTTTCGGACAATAACTCAAAAATGCTTTCAGCATTTTTTATGAAACTTTGGTAAGTTGTTTATATCTATCTTTGTAAGCTCCTTTTTGATTTTTATAAATTTTGGATTTTACTTTTCCGAGTTATAAGATTTTATTTGTTTATAGTCTTGACAACAGATTTACTAAGTATTGCGCAACAGCACAGTGTATTGCACAACAGCAAGAAATCTTTAATTGAATATAAATTCAATTCATATAACCAATTTCAAATTCTTTGACTACATTTATTCAGAAACCTATAATATGTCAAATATTTAATTACATTCCAAATTCAGACCTGTATCAAGCTTGAATATTGTGTCCATTTTTGCCCCAACTGTTCAGGGTTGGACCTCTGCAGGAGTATCCAGCTGCGCTCAGCGAAGCAGTTTATTCATTTATTATTTTGTATGTAAATCAGGCAGTTAGTTTTCTTGTTTGAATTGTTTTACATATGTCATTTTGGGGACTTTATATCTCTCTGTGTGGTATGGGTGTTCCTCATTGTTGGTTACCATAGAATGACCCATAGTTGCTTTAACATCATTTTGTCTCTGAAAAATTAGAGTTGTCTCATTGTCAATCATACCACATCTTCTTACATATACAGTAAGTCCTTTCAAGTTTCCAATTGGGTAACATTATTTGTTGCTATAACAGAACCTCCAATAAGATAACATTATTTGTTGCTATAACAGAACCTCCAGTAAGATAACATTATTTGTTGCTATAACAGAACCTCCAATAAGGTAACATTATTTGTTGCTATAACAGAACCTCCAATAAGATAACATTATTTGTTGCTATAACAGAACCTCCAGTAAGATAACATTATTTGTTGCTATAACAGAACCTCCAATAAGATAACATTATTTGTTGCTATAACAGAACCTCCAATAAGGTAACATTATTTGTTGCTATAACAGAACCTCCAATAAGATAACATTATTTGTTGCTATAACAGAACCTCCAATAAGATAACATTATTTGTTGCTATAACAGAACCTCCAATAAGGTAACATTATTTGTTGCTATAACAGAACCTCCAATAAGATAACATTATTTGTTGCTATAACAGAACCTCCAATAAGATAACATTATTTGTTGCTATAACAGAACCTCCAATAAGATAACATTATTTGTTGCTATAACAGAACCTCCAATAAGATAACATTATTTGTTGCTATAACAGAACCTCCAATAAGATAACATTATTTGTTGCTATAACAGAACCTCCAATAAGATAACATTATTTGTTGCTATAACAAAATGTCAAGCACATATGTATGTTAACCAAGTAATGTTAGGTACAAAAATCATATAACAAGTGCAAATATAAAGATTCATGATAGTGGACTGTGGTATTCTGTTTTTTGTGTCTCATTTTCTAAAAATATGTAATCGTAAGCCATTTAGTTAAATACATAATCATTGATCGTTAAGTTTAATCAATTTAACCTGATCAGTCTTGTTTGGCATACTAATTATGTTAATAACCATGTTAACCCCTTATTGATACATACAATTTACCATTTATCCCCCCTTTTTTTTTAACTCTCCTGTATTACTATATAACAGTTTTGAGTATAACAGTTCTGTCTTAAACATTTAATAAAAAGCATTTAATGGATGTAATTTATATAAATAACACTGAGAGTAAATAAGATACGTACATAAGAAGTAAATGTGTTTTGACTTTGATTATGTGTTTATTGTATGATGAATGGACTTAATTATGACTTTTATAGGTCTATAAAACTTAACAAAGCTATAGGTTACTGACTGGAGGAGAAATAACACTTTGTGGATGAAAACATCTCTCTTTAATGCTTTCCTTTATATTGTATACTCTTCATTGGTTTGTTTTGTTACCACATGTACATACTTTAATGTTTGTTATAACTGGATTCTATGATACATAAATACTGAAGCAGCAAATGTTATGTATACAGACAAATCTATTGCATGTCTCAAGTTTACTTCAACTTCAAGAAAAGTAGAATAAAAGGGTAAATATGTCAATGTGACAGCAACCCAACAACAAATAGACTACCAGATCAAAGTAAAAATACTGGTTTTTGTGTTGCACTTACAGATAATTAGGTCATTTTAATGGGAACCACTAGCAAAGACATATTTCATTTTAATGGAGATTATTCTGCCCTTCCCTTCAGTCGACTCATTGTCTATTGACCTCGAATAAATTTCAAAATTTAAATTATACTATTGAAAATAAGCACAAGCAATACATTTCTCTGTGTCAACAGTATCCTTGATTTTAGATTTGGTCATTTTAGATATTGTTTTTGTCCTCTGAATTGCTTAAAATCCATGTTATTTGGACTCTGTTGGCAGTCATACCACATTTCCTTATTTAACGTTCCTGATTCAGTATATCATAAAAGGTTGAAAAAAATGTGATATTTGAATATTTGTTCTCTTTCTGTATGCATGCTGTTTCCATAGTTATAATTTTCATGTTAAAGTGCACACACTCTGTGTTAATGTCTGTCTAAAACAAAAGTCTTGTAGTAAACTCTCTAACAACAAATTACTTCACAGCTTCTACAGACTGTTCCTATGTTAAAGTAAGGTTCAGTTATCTCAGCACTTAGAAGAAAATCAGTTACATTTCATTACCTGTAACTCTAAACCTAGCTTTATTCTTCCCAATAGTTCTAGTAAATGGTCTGAAAGTAATAAAATGTTTTTTTCTTCCTTTTCATTGTGACCATTCAGTTTCATATTCAGTATATATCCTTTTCATGGACAGGGATTTGAATGATATTAATTTATTATAAAGCATTGTTTTATAGTTATTAAGAAATTAATGTGATCTCTATATTCACGATTTATTTCAGAGGTTAATAATATTTTTGTTTCCTCTGAACTGCTTTTAATTAAGAAATCAAGCAATATGCAGGCAAAAGGTTTTTTTTTTAATTTTTAATGGTAAGTTATATAAGCTTGTGGTGAAGTAGTTCTTGTATCAGTATGACTTTTATCTTCTTCAAAGTAGAACATCTACTGAAGTAAGCTAGGGAAATGACATTACTTTCGGAATTGCTAATGAAAGGGAACATAGTTTTAGAATAGAAGTTATTCAAAGGCTGTAACATGTAATGACTATAAGATAAGAATGAAATAGTCAATCCCTTTTCCTAACTGATTTATGTTTTACTGGTGGAATAGTTTTATTACATGTAATCCCTTGTCATATAATATAAAGAGAAAAGCCATGTTTATAACAGAACTTAAACATGTTATGTAATTGTGTAATCAATAATTCAAATCGGAAGGATTGTTCTGATAATTGAGTTTTACTTTGATGGGGGAGTTTGATGTTAAAATAATAGTAACAGTATCTAAATTATATGTACTTTATCGTACATAATTACTACAATATTAGTACATTGATTTGTTTTTTATAAATGTTTAAGTTTAATGGAGAGGACAGACTATCCTATGTTAAGAATGTTATATGCAGGATATCAGCCTTTACCCTTCTTCTGTTCTTCTAATTTGCTGCTGGGACATCGGAGGGGGGGGGGGCTTCTGGGGGTTGAAACCCCCCCTCCTTTTTTTATGACAATCAATGCATTTGAATGGGGACATATGGTTGGAACCCCCCCCCCCCCCCTTATCCTGGGTTGGGATTACCCCCACCCCCTTTTAAAAATGACGATCCACCCCTGGATATGGGAGTTCTATGTTGCAACTATTTCTCATACATGAAGAATGTTTTTTTCCAGAATGTTGCCTTTTTCCCATACAATGATGTTTCTGTGAAATATACAAGAAAGCCATCAACATAGACTGCTCCGGTCACTTTGACCATTTGATAACAGGTGTATAATGTATTGGAGATCTAAAATACTGACACAGAGTGAATTGAATTACTTTAACCCAGACTGTATATTTAAAAAAAAACATTTTTTTGATTTGTTATTTTGAACTCATAAATAATGCATGGCTGATTGGTTGGTTCCTTGAAGAGATATAATAGGCAGATGTGTTTGATGTTATCATTCAATAAGATAGATTTGTATAGAAATCAAAAAGATATACATCATTTTCATCTGGTTATCTTGTTCAAACATCTAAAAGTCAAACTTTCAATCTCTGTGTTAACAGAAAGTTTTTGAATTTTTGTTAAATTGTCGATCTTGAATACAGTATCAATGAATCGTGTGGTTTTTATTAAAAGAAAGATTAGGCTTATTTTGTAGAGTAAAGAAGATTGATGGAAACATCTACTGAGAGTTAGAACAGTGACAGTAGAATGAGGTTTTTAGTGGGGCGTTGGCATTGCTCAGTCTTTAGTTGTCTATGTAATGGTTGGTGTAGTTGTTTGTCTTTTCATTTGTCATGGCATTGTCAGTTTCTCTTGACCTTTGAGTGTTGGTCAGTTTCTCTTGACCTTTGAGTTTTGGTCAGTTTCTCTTGACTTTTGAGTTTTGGTCAGTTTCTCTTGACCTTTGAGTGTTGGTCAGTTTCTCTTGAACTTTTAGTTTTGGTCAGTTTCTCTTGACCTTTGAATTTTGGTCAGTTTCTCTTGACCTTTGAGTTTTGAATGTTCCCTTGGTATCTTCAGTTTCTTTTTGTTTTAATAAAACCAGACTTCTTGTTATAAAACCAGACTTCTTGTAATAAAACCAGACTTCTTGTAATAAATTCATTTTTAGTGTCTAAATAATCATGCAAGAAGGGTTTTATGTCATATTATATGCATTTTTGATATTTAAATTTGTTTAACAGGGTTTTTATAACCCATCTTTATAGATTAGGGGTACTTTGAAAACAATTAGGTTATCACTCAAGCATGTTATGTTCACTAAAGTTTTTGCCATTAGTAGTAATTGTGTGAAGTGGATCTTAATTTTGCCTATATATTGAAGTATTTCAGATTAACTTGGCATTATAATGATTCATAAGTTAGAGTAAAATCTATACTGATGTTTCTTGAATGTTCACAGAAGAAAACTAAATGTTGCATGCTCCTTTCAAAATGATTTTGTGATAAAAATAATAATATTAAACTAACTGATCACTTATTTGTTTAGTGGTTACAAAGTGCAAGCTGCATTTTCAAAAAGATATATATATATCTAATAACCATATGTAAAAAGAAGATATATTTTTTAAATCCTGAATTTTATCCAGTTTTAGAAAATAATTGCCAGGTGTGCATCAATATAAAGTGTCTGAGAAATAATTTATTTTATGAAATATATATATGCATTTATTTTGAAATCTATTAACTGATTATTTGGTACAACTTCTTCAGGTCATTTTATAAAGGCAGGTACTTTTCCTTTTCTGTTTGAGAAAGATCAAGACCTTGACAAAATCTCATATATGAATGAGGTTTAAAGAAGTTTTTTGAAAATAAGATCAACAAATAAGCTGTACTGTGGATTCATTTATTTTCGTGGATACCAATTTTCGTGGATTGAAGAAAATTTGTATTTTGGTGGATATTTGATTCGTGGTTTAGCAAAATTCTGCATACAAGCCTATAGAGAGTTTGTGATTCGTTGATCATTTAAATTCGTGGTTGACCTTTACCCACGAAAATTGGTATCCCACGAATGATAATGAATCCACAGTATAACTTTTCCTCAGTACGCCAACTATCTTTCTGCTGCAATTCAGTCATAAGGCTTTGTTGTTGATGGGAATTACAGAGACAAACACATACTACTGAGAAGTTCATTATTTCTGCATCAATTCCTTAAGTACACCAAAAAATGTGCTATACATTAGGAGAAACCAAAACAAACTACAAACTTGACAGAGGAAAAAAGGTTATGTGTTTATATTAATGAGTTTATGATGTTTTTGATTCTGTGTGAGGGGTGGTTTATAATGTTCTATGGTTTCCTGTCTTGTCTGAGACATGCTATTACCAGTAATTATGTCTGGGAGATTTTCGTACAAAATCAGTTTACAAAATTTTATATATTAATACTGGAAAATTGTCTTTGATTCAAAGATGTAATAATTTGATCAAATGTTGATAGAATGATTGTTTGTCTGTTTTATTCAGGGTTATTGCATCTATATGGGATAGCCATGTTAAACTGCTTTCAAATGAATATTACATGGGTGCCATTTCCATGATAGCAGTTTTTGGTTTTACTTACATAACTACGGAGCCAATTTTGGGGTATTTATTTTGATGGCTAATACCTTTAATCAGAGTAGAAAAGTTAATTTGACAAGGTGATTCAAACGCTTTCTCCTTCTTGGATCTGTGTTTTACATAATGTTACTATAATAATAATAAAAATAATAATAAATTATTTATTTAAAGAGGGTAAACACAGTTAGTTACAATTACTAAACTTCCCTGAGGCCCTCATATACAATACAAGTAAAAAAATAATAATAAGAGAAAAAAAGCAAACATACAACAAATTAACACATAGCCAGTTCACAATCGTATAGTCATGATAGTTCAGTGTACATGTACCATAATTAGAACATATAAAACCGTTACAGAGTGCATGTAGTAAATAGATATTATATACAAATCAAAATTATACATTCTAAAAAAGTAAGAGTTGCAATCATTTCAAGACTGAATATTGGGACTGCCTCAAGTATCGTTTTATAATTTGTTTAAAACAAAAAGTGTTTTGCACTTTATGCATTTCATATGGTAAGACCGTTCCATAAAACTGATCCAGAATAAGCAAAAGATACTGGCCTGTATATGTACTGTGATCTCATTCATGGATGTACTATGGATGTTTACCAATGGTGGGCCGCTTGTATTTTGGTGCTTTTGTTCACCCCTTGATCGAGAGCCTCATTATACTAAGCGTTTCCTTTCCACTCAGTTTTATAGTCCTTATGTGACCATTGTTCATGAAAGGAAAACAATAATAACATACTTAAACAATGTGGCATGTTTGAATCCAAAATATTTTGTAAAAATATATTTCATGTTTTTCCATATATTACTTATAAATGGACTTAGTTTTTCTTCCAGTTAACATTACATACAGTCTGCAGTTAAAGTTTTTAAAACATTTATTAGATTCATAAACCATTTCATTAACTGTAAATCTATTGTGTGCATTCCCCTATCACACTATCACACTGAAAACATAGACAACAGAAAAAGTAGGCGAGACACGCAGAACCCTTACGAATTTTTTAATAGTTTTATAACTTTTGAAATTTACTAAAAAGTAAAGTTTTTGAAGTTCATCTCAAGGAATAGTGTGTAATCTTGCTTAAAGGGTAAAAGCAAAGGGGGGGATGTGTATGAGCAACACTTCTGAACATCAACATCATGTTTGATGTTATTAATCAACAACACTTCAGGATATGGCAACTATAACATTCAGAAAATATTTCATTTGTGAATAAACAGAAAATTTGATACAAAATAAGAATTTTATTATGTTTATCATGGTATGAGGAACATAAAGATTATATGACAGAAGTAGGAATGTGTCTTCTATTGATGTAATGTTGCACAGCCCTATCTAATAAGGCCATTTTCTTCAGGAAACTTTTAATATCATCACATCTTATTTTATTATTTTCAGGTCTTTTGAGAGGATCAGCTATTGGTGGACCACGAAAAGTTGTTTCTCAAATTTATGAACATGTGGCTGTGCCACTCAAAAGGACAAGTGGTAAGAGGACCTCACTACCCCTAAGCAACATGACCTTTGAACCTGTAATGGAAAGAGAAGAAGATGGGGGCCATGAAAAAAGATCAGACGTTGAAAAGTCACTAGAATTGACTAGGTCAGGGATGAAAGAGGATAGCTCATTTGATGACAAAGATGAATGGGACCAGGTATGCTATATTTTTTGGAATACTTTTGAGTAAAGATATCAGTTATAACCACTGAGAATTGTTAAAATAAAGGACATATGTAATAACATACTAAAAAAACAGTAAAACAATTTATACAACTTGTGTATATTATAAGCTACACAACTAAAATGAAAAATGAATTCTCTGTGCAGGGAAAGGATTGTTTCTGTAATGTCAATGAACAAATTAATGATACATCAGAAAGAACTAATAGCTCTAATTAAAAATGTTTTCTATCATATTGAAGTTGTCTTCTCTTTTAAGAATCTATATATAAAAGAGGGAAATATTTACATTATTATTTAAGGAACATATTAATTTTAATCTGTCAGTGATTAAATAATAAGTATTGAGTAATTATTGGACTGATTTACCATTTACAGATAGCAGACATTGTCTCAAGTTTTGGAGGGAAACTGTCTCATGATGAAACTGTGTCTGTTAATGACACGGACATGAACCATCTTTTAGAAGGTACAAACAGTCTGATGATCCTGGACAGTGACTGATTCCCTGTTGACTGATAGACTTTTATTGTTTTGTTGCCTTGCTTGAATTTTTGCTTGAGATAAATGATTTTATCAAGCCAATTCTTCAGCTCTTTAACACAGAACCAGTATTTAACCAAAAAGCATACAATTGTAACAGCTTAAAAATAAATCATTTGAAGGTTATATGGCAATAGCTATCAGTGTTCTAGATAGGATGAAAGGTCAGGGGGCACAGTTTTAAGAAGAAGGGCAGGTTAGCACGCTTTCTTGTCTGAAAATTGGCAACTTAAATATGTTTATAGATAAAATTAATTACATACAAATTCAATTGATTATAAATTAATGTATATTTGATGGAATTTTTGTAATTTAGGATTGTAAAAGGCCTTTTCTACAGGTTAACATTTTTTTTCATTAAAAAGTATGTAATTTCCATCAGATACTAAAATGCAGAGGGGTGCCATGTCCCTTCATTTGGGGCTAGCTAGGACATTGGCAATGCTTTAGAATAGAATGCTAACTGCAAGGGCTTTGGCTTCAATCTATTGTGCCTAATATCTCAGCCAATTAATTTTAACTTTCAGTAATAGATTTAAAGAATGTGCAAACATGAAAAAATGGCAGAATGAATATACCAAGTAGACAGATAAATTAATGATCAGGAAATATTAGGGGAACGAAATACATCAACATATTTGACATTTCTCTTGGCAATTCTGCTGTCTGGTAAAATAATTTGTAAAAAATCCCGTTACATAATATACATCTGTGTTTATATAGCTAAGAACTGGCTTTATGAAACAGAATGACTCTTTATACATTTTAGGTGGAATGTTTAGGAACTTAAGCATGTGGGGTATAATTTGTCTTCTAAAGAGCAGCCATTCTGGAATGTTTTAGACCTAGCATGTTTAATCACTTTCCACTTCTTACAGGAACAGACTCAGCATGAATAATGTGCCTGTTCAGGGATGCACCTGGGAGGGATTTGTAAAAGTATTAATACTGGCAGTTCTTAACCTTTTTTTATATGTTACTTCCTGTATTGGTTCTTTTACAGTAAAAAATCCTCATGTTCCAAAGTGCATTCCTGTTGATTTTCACAAATAATAGTTTATCACACTTGCATGAAAAGTTTAATAATTCAAGTGTCTATTTGATTGTAAATCACAATTTTCTTGACCTAAGGATCCCTGTATTTTGTTACTTTGACCATGAAAGAAACCAAAATCATTCCTTTTAGATTTTCACCAAGATTAAAGAATCCTTGGAATTCTACTCACAAACTAAGAATATCAAGTACTGGGACAGGAGAATTTCTGTCCCTACCCAATTCAACATAACATTGTTTTTGTTTGAAAGAGATAATTCCCTGACCATCCTCTTAACTTTTACAGTAAGTTACATAATTGATATATTATTTTATTAAAAAATGTGGACTACATTTTAACAAAAAAACAATAAATTGAGCATATTTTAAAAAGAGGGATATCTTTTCATATGAAATTCATATTAAAGCAATATTATAAAAAAATATTACTAACTGTTGCAAGCGTGGTAGACATGTATTTGTAGTGACATTTTCATCTTTCATTACTTTGAAGAATACAACAGGAATTGTTTTTGTTTTTTTAATCATTAAAAAAATATTTTAAATTAGAAAAGATTTTGTTTATTTTCATAAATTCAAGAGTAATGATCTAATAAGAAAAGTGATAATATCTACAACTAAAATTATGTTTAATCAGGAAATCTGTCCTTTATTCAAGTATCAGCCATCATGTCCTGTTGTCTTCTGCTTGTATGCATGTCTCTGGAATGTTTTAAATTTATACAAATCTTGTAACAAAATCTAAATGATGGATCGGATTTCTGTTAACATTTCTGACCAAAAAGTAAGTCTTTTAAAAAGTATTATTAAGACTTTTTTTTATTAGAAAATTTTACATACTAAGACTTGAACTTATTGTCTTAATTACAGATTAAAATTTTTATTTTCACTTAGAATTTGTTTACAAGATTAATATTTGAATGTGGTAGATTTACTGGGATCAAAAATAAATAATCATAACACTTTTGATGACAACTTAAAGATAAAAGAAAGGAAAAAAAAGTATGTTTTTCAATCCTTATAAAAAGTATTTTTGATCTCTGTAAGTATGACTTAGATCACCACCCTCTGGCATGTTACTATCACCTGGAGTATTCTTCTCTAGATAGCTGACATTATGGCCTCCTTTGGTTCAGGGATAGAAAGAGAATCAGTGTTTGTTGAAAAGTTTGAAGCTTTGTTTACTAAACATCTGGCTGCTCCAGGTAATTTATTTACAGCTTAACAATTCAGGCTATTTCACATTTTTGACTTCATGCTATCATCCTAATCTAGACCCATTTGTGGTTCTCCGCAGCAACCAGATAAAATGCATTGACCATCACGGCTTAATTTAGTTCTAAAGCTTGAGTTTCTGCCTAACATTAGGTACAGAACTGGCTTCATGCAGCTTACAGCATTATTCTGAGTACTTTGTACATCAACTAATGCACACATAATATCAAGTTTTGTGTTCTGTTATGGAACCAATTAAAAATAATGATGCACATAGTGAATCATAAGGCTGAAATTATTTTTAGAATGATTGTAAATTTTTTAAGTTACAAAGACAAAAGTACTAATTTTGATTCACTTTTAAAGTAATTGATTTGATTGCACGTATGTTTTAGTAAATATTATCTTTACTTGACGAAATGAAAAACTGAAAATGATATAAGATATCAGGGAAACATCATATGAGACAGCAACCAAACAACATAAAAACCACATAAAACATCAGTAGGTAAACATTTCGTTGTCTTTTTCAATTTTGGCAAAATTCGGTCAGTGGCAAATTCTGCATTCATTACAGTTTCTAAAGCTGATTTGGTAGGGAGGAGTGCATACTGTTGTCTAGTCTTGTTATAAAGTACACACTGGGATACACTGCTCACATTTGAAACCAAAAATATTGTATAAATGTATATATAACACATAAAATCATCAGATTTGATGATGCAGCCAATGTAAAATGTCAAAACTTACTTCAGAAAACCATGACAATAGAGACATTAGATACTAATTCTGTTGTATTCTGTTTACAGGTTCTAATCCCTCAATCCATAGTGTTGGAGAATGGTTAGAGTCCCTTAGTTTAGGACAGTATGAAAATACTCTGTATGCTAATGGGTTTGATGATACAGATTTTCTGGTAAGTCACCTGTTGGATGAAGTCACATAACCAGAATTAGTTAAGGTTTTAATGACCCAATGGACAAAGGCAAGCAATCGTGAAAATTCACTCCAAACACCAGTAAACCACAATGACACACTAAAAACATTTAGGATAGTTTGCAATGGTATATATTGGAAAATATATTTCAAAAATACGCAATGTCCCAGTGGCAGAACCCCCCCTTTTTTTTTGACGATCAATGCTTTTGAATGGGGACATATGGTTGGAACTCCCCCTTTTGAAAATGGCTTGATCCTCCCCTGTGTCCCATGCTGCAAAGCGGAGCAGAGGATGTGAAAATAATGTTTGTCTGTCCTTTGTTCATCTGACATTGCAAGGCTTCTTTTACCGACAGTTATTATCAAATTTTAATTAAATTTAATGTCAAGGGTTAACCTGAGAAATTTCTATGATGATTTAAAAAATCAAGGTCAAATAATGATTGATTTGGAGTTATGCCCCATTGAAACTCAACATTATAAATGCTCTCACACCTTCATTTCTCCTACGAGTTTATACCAAAGTCTGACATAGCTAGATCCTACATATTAGTTCAAAAATCAGGGTGAAATAATGATTGATTTGGAGTTATGCCCCATGGAAACTCAGCATTGTAAATGCTCTCACACCTTCTTTTCTCAGGAGTTTATACCAAAGTCTGACAAAGCTATATTCAGCATAAGTTGGAAAAATCGGCTACAATTTAACTATTGGGTATGATAATGCTTCTGTTAAAGGTAATGAAATGGAAGTCTGCAGCATTCTGCTGCCAATATTTTTGGCTTAAGTTCAATGAAACTTTTGTCAAGGTTGATATCAGCGATATCTAAACCTAGTTCTTAACCTTGGGAATACAAGTGTTGTTATAAATTATTTCATAGCATTTTCCATATCGGTCCTAGTATCAGCCGGAAACTCCCATATCAGATAGAGGGACTAAAACTAAAGGAATGATATTAGGCCCAATATAGAAAATGCCATTTAACGATCTATTAATATATTTAGTCTATGAAATTGAATTTAGACGATAGAAAAAAAAACCAATTGAATAAAGAAATTTTATCTATTTTTATGCCCCACCTATGATAGTAGTAGGGGCATTATGTTTTCTGGTCTGTGCGTCCTTTCGTTCGTTCGTTCGTTCCTCAGTCCGTCCCACTTCAGGTTTAAGTTTTTGGTCAAGGTAGTTTTTGATGAAGTTGAAGTCTAATCAACTTGAAACTTAGTACACTTGTTCCCTATGATATGATCTTTCTAATTTTAATGCCAAATTCCAGTTTTGACCCCAATTTCACGGTACACTGAACATAGAAAATGATAGCGCGAGTGGGGCATCCGTGTACTATGGACACATTCTTGTTTAAAAATAAACCAGTAACAATTTTACTGATTCATTCAGATATTATACAACTGTACTATTATACAAAATATTATCGATCGTGAGTTACAAAACTGATACAGTTATGTTTTTGTTTATTTAAGGGGGAGAAAATAATGGAAGAACAAGATCTGGAATCTATAGGTATCTCAACTGCTGAACACAGAAAGAAAATACTGGACCTGGCAAAAAGACTTCCACAGATCAAACCTATAAGTATGTAACATAGGGTCCAATATAAACTATAGACCCATGGGGTAATAAGATACTGGACCAAGCAAAAAGACTTCCACTGATCAAACCTATAAGTATGTAACATAGGGTCCAATGTTAACTATTGGCCATGGGGTAATAAGATACTGGACCAAACAAAAAGACTTCCACAGATCAAACCTATAAGTATGTAACATAGGGTCCAATATAAACTATTGGCCCAGGGATAATAAGATACTGGACCAAGCAAAAAGACTTCCACTGATCAAACCTATAAGTATGTAACATAGGGTCCAATGTAAACTATTGGCCATGGGGTAATAAGATACTGGACCAAGCAAAAAGACTTCCACAGATCAAACCTATAAGTATGTAACATAGGGTCAAATATAAACTATTGGCCATGGGGTAATAAGATACTGGACTAAGCAAAAGGTCTTCCACAGATCTAACCTATAAGTATGTAACATAGGGTCCAATATAAACTATTGGCCATGGGATAATAAGATACTGGACCAAGCAAAAAGACTTCCACAGATCAAACTTATAAGTATGTAATATAGGGTCCAATATAAACTATTGGCTCTGTGGTTATAAGATACTGGACCAAGCAAAAAGACTTCCACAGATCAAACCTATAAGTATGTAACATAGGGCCCAATATAAACTATTGGCCATGGGGTGATAAGATACTGGACCAAGCAAAAAGACTTCCACAGATCAAACCTATAAGTATGTAACATAGGGTCCAATATTAACTATTGGCCATGGGGTAATAAGATACTGGACCAAGCAAAAAGACTTCCACTGATCAAACCTATAAGTATGTAACATAGGGCCCAATATAAACTATTGGCCATGGGGTAATAAAATACTGGACCAAGCAAAAAGACTTCCACAGATCAAACCTATAAGTATGTAACATAGGGTCCAATATAAACTATTGGCCATGGGGTAATAAAATACTGGACCAAGCAAAAAGACTTCCACAGATCAAACCTATAAGTATGTAACATAGGGTCCAATATAAACTATTGGCCATGGGGTAATAAGATACTGGACCAAGCAAAAAGACTTCCACAGATCAAACCTATTAGTATGGTCAAGTTAAAAGTTCAATATATACTATCAGCCTAGGGTAATAAGATACTACCGGTAGTCTGAGCAATAAAAATCTTCTTCAGATCAAATGATAAATTCAAAAACAAATACAAAATGTGAATTCTAAGTCACTTAAATATTCAGTCGAGCATACAAAAAATGTGATATTTGAATCAGTATTTTTAGCCTTGTTTTCTTTTCCTTCAACATACATTGAGGTTATTTTATGTTCAATTTTCTTTGAGAAAATTTTGAAATATATTTTACCTGAACTTTCAAATACCAATTGAGATCTCAGAGTTAGAAATGCATTGTACTAGTGAGAATTTTGTTGTTTGCTCATATGTTCAAAAAGAAATAGATTTTGGCATCAGTAATCATTAAACGTTTCAGATTTATACCTTCTAAGAAAGTACAGTTGAACCTTGTTGTGTCGAAAACTCTGATGAGTTGAAGTAATTTCTCAGTCCCAGTCATCAATATTCATTAATTACAATAATCTTAAAAAACGGATTATGTCAAATTTACAATAATTGAATTCAAAGCAGACGACCCTCATCAGTGATGTTTCAGGATTTATTTCGTTTTGTGAGTTGATTCCATAATTTATAATGACCAATATTTGTGAATATTGGTGAACGTTTTGTCTAGATCATAAAAAAATATGGAGCTTGAATACACAGTCATAAATTGTCTTATTGAAAAAAAAAGGCACACTGTTCAAAATATCTAGTTTAAAAAAAATATCATACCTTATTTCATGCATTTCAAATTTATGACGACACACTTGTCCTCGGATAATCTAATACTTTCTTCCCGTCCCTTTGACTTCGACTTAACGAGGTAAAACTGTACTTGACCAATCTTGACCATACCCTGTTTTAGTGAAACAAGGAAGTCCTGAATACATGAACTATATGTCCTCTCAATATGATGGTACTAGGTTGAGGCTTTTGTGCAACATAGCTTTAAGAAGTTTATCAATTCATATATAATTCTATGATATGCCTAAGTAATATCAATAAAAAGTGATGTTAGGATTTAGATCTGTCTTATAGTGTCATGTTTAAAACAGGCCAAAGTGTATTATATAGACTTACAAGTTGAAATTTCTAGTCCCTTCAAGCATTAGGATAATGTTTACAAAATTGTAATTGTTAATTACAGATGCTGAATGTCCACCTGTTTCTGTGGAGGTTTGGCTGAACAGTTTACGATTACCTCAGTACTTAGATAAATTTATGTCTCATAAATATAATACAATGGAGAGAGTTCTTCAAGTCTGGGAGCTAGAACTCAGTACTGTAAGTATAACAGAGAGAGTAAATAAATATAATACAATGGAGAGAGTTCTACAGGTCTGGGAGCTAGAACTCAGTACCATAAGTATAACAGAGAGAGTAAATAAATATAATACAATGGAGAGAGTTCTTCAAGTCTGGGAGCTAGAACTCAGTACCGTAAGTATAACAGAGAGAGTAAATAAATATAATACAATGGAGAGAGTTCTACAAGTCTGGGAGCTAGAACTCAGTACCGTAAGTATAACAGAGAGAGTAAATAAATATAATACAATAGAGAGAGTTATACAAGTCTGGGAGCTAGAACTCAGTACTGTAAGTATAACAGAGAGAGTAAATAAATATAATACAATGGAGAGAGTTCTACAAGTCTGGGAGCTAGAACTCAGTACCATAAGTATAAGTCTGGGAGCTAGAACTCAGTACCGTAAGTATAACAGAGAGAGTAAATAAATATAATACAATAGAGAGAGTTCTACAAGTCTGGGAGCTAGAACTCAGTACTGTAAGTATAACAGAGAGAGTAAATAAATATAATACAATGGAGAGAGTTCTACAAGTCTGGGAGCTAGAACTCAGTACTGTAAGTATAACAGAGAGAGTAAATAAATATAATACAATGGAGAGAGTTCTACAAGTCTGGGAGCTAGAACTCAGTACCGTAAGTATAACAGAGAGAGTAAATAAATATGATACAATGGAGAGAGTTCTACAAGTCTGTGAGCTAGAACTGAGTACTGTAAGTATAACAGAGAGAGTAAATAAATATAATACAATGGAGAGAGTTCTACAAGTCTGGGAGCTAGAACTCAGTACCGTAAGTATAACAGAGAGAGTAAATAAATATAATACAATAGAGAGAGTTCTACAAGTCTGGGAGCTAGAACTCAGTACTGTAAGTATAACAGAGAGAGTAAATAAATATAATACAATGGAGAGAGTTCTACAAGTCTGGGAGCTAGAACTCAGTACTGTAAGTATAACAGAGAGAGTAAATAAATATAATACAATGGAGAGAGTTCTACAAGTCTGGGAGCTAGAACTCAGTACTGTAAGTATAACAGAGAGAGTAAATAAATATAATACAATGGAGAGAGTTCTACAAGTCTGGGAGCTAGAACTCAGTACTGTAAGTATAACAGAGAGAGTAAATAAATATAATACAATGGAGAGAGTTCTACAAGTCTGGGAGCTAGAACTCAGTACCGTAAGTATAACAGAGAGAGTAAATAAATATGATACAATGGAGAGAGTTCTACAAGTCTGTGAGCTAGAACTGAGTACTGTAAGTATAACAGAGAGAGTAAATAAATATAATACAATGGAGAGAGTTCTACAAGTCTGGGAGCTAGAACTCAGTACCGTAAGTATAACAGAGAGAGTAAATAAATATAATACAATGGAGAGAGTTCTACAAGTCTGGGAGCTAGAACTCAGTACCGTAAGTATAACAGAGAGAGTAAATAAATATAATACAATGGAGAGAGTTCTACAAGTGTGGGAGCTAGAACTCAGTACTGTAAGTATAACAGAGAGAGTAAATAAATATAATACAATGGAGAGAGTTCTACAAGTGTGGGAGCTAGAACTCAGTACTGTAAGTATAACAGAGAGAGTAAATAAATATAATACAATGGAGAGAGTTCTACAAGTCTGGGAGCTAGAACTCAGTACTGTAAGTATAACAGAGAGAGTAAATAAATATAATACAATGGAGAGAGTTCTACAAGTCTGGGAGCTAGAACTCAGTACTGTAAGTATAACAGAGAGAGTAAATAAATATAATACAATGGAGAGAGTTCTACAAGTCTGGGAGCTAGAACTCAGTACTGTAAGTATAACAGAGAGAGTAAATAAATATGATACAATGGAGAGAGTTCTACAAGTCTGTGAGCTAGAACTGAGTACTGTAAGTATAACAGAGAGAGTAAATAAATATAATACAATGGAGAGAGTTCTACAAGTCTGTGAGCTAGAACTCAGTACCGTAAGTATAACAGAGAGAGTAAATAAATATAATACAATGGAGAGAGTTCTACAAGTCTGTGAGCTAGAACTCAGTACCGTAAGTATAACAGAGAGAGTAAATAAATATAATACAATGGAGAGAGTTCTACAAGTGTGGGAGCTAGAACTCAGTACCGTAAGTATAACAGAGAGAGTAAATAAATATAATACAATGGAGAGAGTTCTACAAGTCTGGGAGCTAGAACTCAGTACTGTAAGTATAACAGAGAGAGTAAATAAATATAATACGATGGAAAGAGTTCTACAAGTGTGGGAGCTAGAACTGAGTACTGTAAGTATAACAGAGAGAGTAAATAAATATAATACAATGGAGAGAGTTCTACAAGTCTGGGAGCTAGAACTGAGTACTGTAAGTATAACAGAGAGAGTAAATAAATATAATACAATGGAGAGAGTTCTACAAGTCTGTGAGCTAGAACTGAGTACTGTAAGTATAACAGAGAGAGTAAATAAATATAATACAATGGAGAGAGTTCTACAAGTGTGGGAGCTAGAACTCAGTACCGTAAGTATAACAGAGAGAGTAAATAAATATAATACAATGGAGAGAGTTCTTCAAGTCTGGGAGCTAGAACTCAGTACCGTAAGTATAACAGAGAGAGTACATAAATATAATACAATAGAGACAGTTCTACAAGTCTGGGAGCTAGAACTCAGTACCGTAAGTATAACAGAGAGAGTAAATAAATATAATACAATGGAGAGAGTTCTTCAAGTCTGGGAGCTAGAACTCAGTACCGTAAGTATAACAGAGAGAATAAATAAATATAATACAATAGAGAGAGTTCTACAAGTCTGGGAGCTAGAACTCAGTACCGTAAGTATAAGTCTGGGAGCTAGAACTCAGTACTCTAAGTATAACAGAGAGAGTAAATAAATATAATACAATGGAGAGAGTTCTACAAGTCTGGGAGCTAGAACTCAGTACCATAAGTATAAGTCTGGGAGCTAGAACTCAGTACCGTAAGTATAACAGAGAGAGTAAATAAATATAATACAATGGAGAGAGTTCTACAAGTCTGGGAGCTAGAACTCAGTACTGTAAGTATAAGTCTGAGAGCTAGAACTCAGTACCGTAAGTATAACAGAGAGAATAAATAAATATAATACAATGGAGAGAGTTCTACAAGTCTGGGAGCTAGAACTCAGTACTGTAAGTATAACAGAGAGAGTAAATAAATATAATACAATGGAGAGAGTTCTACAAGTCTGGGAGCTAGAACTCAGTACTGTAAGTATAACAGAGAGAGTAAATAAATATAATACAATGGAGAGAGTTCTACAGGTCTGGGAGCTAGAACTCAGTACCATAAGTATAACAGAGAGAGTAAATAAATATAATACAATGGAGAGAGTTCTTCAAGTCTGGGAGCTAGAACTCAGTACCGTAAGTATAACAGAGAGAGTAAATAAATATAATACAATGGAGAGAGTTCTACAAGTCTGGGAGCTAGAACTCAGTACCGTAAGTATAACAGAGAGAGTAAATAAATATAATACAATAGAGAGAGTTCTACAAGTCTGGGAGCTAGAACTCAGTACTGTAAGTATAACAGAGAGAGTAAATAAATATAATACAATGGAGAGAGTTCTACAAGTCTGGGAGCTAGAACTCAGTACCATAAGTATAAGTCTGGGAGCTAGAACTCAGTACCGTAAGTATAACAGAGAGAGTAAATAAATATAATACAATAGAGAGAGTTCTACAAGTCTGGGAGCTAGAACTCAGTACTGTAAGTATAACAGAGAGAGTAAATAAATATAATACAATGGAGAGAGTTCTACAAGTCTGGGAGCTAGAACTCAGTACCGTAAGTATAAGTCTGGGAGCTAGAACTCAGTACCGTAAGTATAACAGAGAGAGTAAATAAATATAATACAATAGAGAGAGTTCTACAAGTCTGGGAGCTAGAACTCAGTACTGTAAGTATAACAGAGAGAGTAAATAAATATAATACAATGGAGAGAGTTCTACAAGTCTGGGAGCTAGAACTCAGTACTGTAAGTATAACAGAGAGAGTAAATAAATATAATACAATGGAGAGAGTTCTACAAGTCTGGGAGCTAGAACTCAGTACTGTAAGTATAACAGAGAGAGTAAATAAATATAATACAATGGAGAGAGTTCTACAAGTCTGGGAGCTAGAACTCAGTACTGTAAGTATAACAGAGAGAGTAAATAAATATAATACAATGGAGAGAGTTCTACAAGTCTGGGAGCTAGAACTCAGTACCGTAAGTATAACAGAGAGAGTAAATAAATATGATACAATGGAGAGAGTTCTACAAGTCTGTGAGCTAGAACTGAGTACTGTAAGTATAACAGAGAGAGTAAATAAATATGATACAATGGAGAGAGTTCTACAAGTCTGGGAGCTAGAACTCAGTACCGTAAGTATAACAGAGAGAGTAAATAAATATAATACAATGGAGAGAGTTCTACAAGTCTGGGAGCTAGAACTCAGTACCGTAAGTATAACAGAGAGAGTAAATAAATATAATACAATGGAGAGAGTTCTACAAGTGTGGGAGCTAGAACTCAGTACTGTAAGTATAACAGAGAGAGTAAATAAATATAATACAATGGAGAGAGTTCTACAAGTGTGGGAGCTAGAACTCAGTACTGTAAGTATAACAGAGAGAGTAAATAAATATAATACAATGGAGAGAGTTCTACAAGTCTGGGAGCTAGAACTCAGTACTGTAAGTATAACAGAGAGAGTAAATAAATATAATACAATGGAGAGAGTTCTACAAGTCTGGGAGCTAGAACTCAGTACTGTAAGTATAACAGAGAGAGTAAATAAATATAATACAATGGAGAGAGTTCTACAAGTCTGGGAGCTAGAACTCAGTACTGTAAGTATAACAGAGAGAGTAAATAAATATGATACAATGGAGAGAGTTCTACAAGTCTGTGAGCTAGAACTGAGTACTGTAAGTATAACAGAGAGAGTAAATAAATATAATACAATGGAGAGAGTTCTACAAGTCTGTGAGCTAGAACTCAGTACCGTAAGTATAACAGAGAGAGTAAATAAATATAATACAATGGAGAGAGTTCTACAAGTCTGTGAGCTAGAACTCAGTACCGTAAGTATAACAGAGAGAGTAAATAAATATAATACAATGGAGAGAGTTCTACAAGTGTGGGAGCTAGAACTCAGTACCGTAAGTATAACAGAGAGAGTAAATAAATATAATACAATGGAGAGAGTTCTACAAGTCTGGGAGCTAGAACTCAGTACTGTAAGTATAACAGAGAGAGTAAATAAATATAATACGATGGAAAGAGTTCTACAAGTGTGGGAGCTAGAACTGAGTACTGTAAGTATAACAGAGAGAGTAAATAAATATAATACAATGGAGAGAGTTCTACAAGTCTGGGAGCTAGAACTGAGTACTGTAAGTATAACAGAGAGAGTAAATAAATATAATACAATGGAGAGAGTTCTACAAGTCTGTGAGCTAGAACTGAGTACTGTAAGTATAACAGAGAGAGTAAATAAATATAATACAATGGAGAGAGTTCTACAAGTGTGGGAGCTAGAACTCAGTACCGTAAGTATAACAGAGAGAGTAAATAAATATAATACAATGGAGAGAGTTCTTTAAGTCTGGGAGCTAGAACTCAGTACCGTAAGTATAACAGAGAGAGTACATAAATATAATACAATAGAGACAGTTCTACAAGTCTGGGAGCTAGAACTCAGTACCGTAAGTATAACAGAGAGAGTAAATAAATATAATACAATGGAGAGAGTTCTTCAAGTCTGGGAGCTAGAACTCAGTACCGTAAGTATAACAGAGAGAATAAATAAATATAATACAATAGAGAGAGTTCTACAAGTCTGGGAGCTAGAACTCAGTACCGTAAGTATAAGTCTGGGAGCTAGAACTCAGTACTCTAAGTATAACAGAGAGAGTAAATAAATATAATACAATGGAGAGAGTTCTACAAGTCTGGGAGCTAGAACTCAGTACCATAAGTATAAGTCTGGGAGCTAGAACTCAGTACCGTAAGTATAACAGAGAGAGTAAATAAATATAATACAATGGAGAGAGTTCTACAAGTCTGGGAGCTAGAACTCAGTACTGTAAGTATAAGTCTGAGAGCTAGAACTCAGTACCGTAAGTATAACAGAGAGAATAAATAAATATAATACAATGGAGAGAGTTCTACAAGTCTGGGAGCTAGAACTCAGTACTGTAAGTATAACAGAGAGAGTAAATAAATATAATACAATGGAGAGAGTTCTACAAGTCTGGGAGCTAGAACTCAGTACCGTAAGTATAACAGAGAGAGTAAATAAATATAATACAATAGAGAGAGTTCTACAAGTCTGGGAGCTAGAACTCAGTACCGTAAGTATAACAGAGAGAGTAAATAAATATAATACAATGGAGAGAGTTCTACAAGTCTGGGAGCTAGAACTCAGTACTGTAAGTATAAGTCTGGGAGCTAGAACTCAGTACCGTAAGTATAACAGAGAGAGTAAATAAATATAATACAATGGAGAGAGTTCTACAAGTCTGGGAGCTAGAACTCAGTACTGTAAGTATAAGTCTGGGAGCTAGAACTCAGTACCATAAGTATAAGTCTGGGAGCTAGAACTCAGTACCGTAAGTATAACAGAGAGAGTAAATAAATATAATACAATAGAGAGAGTTCTACAAGTCTGGGAGCTAGAACTCAGTACTATAAGTATGACAGAGAGAGTAAATAAATATAATACGATGGAAAGAGTTCTACAAGTGTGGGAGCTAGAACTCAGTACTGTAAGTATAACAGATGACAAGGTTTTTTTTTTAACGACCTTGACTATCCATGAAGGTCTTTCACGGTCAGCAAGTATAACAGAGAGAGGAAATAATGCATGGTTTTAAAGTATCATAGGAAGTCCGGAAAGTATTTAAACTTAGACTTTGTCCCTCAAGCCTAACAGATAGTGTCCAGGAAGTATGATAGATAGAAATCTTAAAACTTCAAGTACAATTTAGTGCAAAATGATTAGGTGCTAGGACATGGTTTTTAAGACTCTGTAAAGGGATTTTAATGATTTTATTAAAGAGAAATGTTGAAAAGAGAAATTATGAAATTTAAAGCTTACATTAACCAATAATATTTTTTGTTGTTACACATTTTATTGAATATGGTTTAATATGAAGGGTAAATATCAGTAAGAGATTAGACAACATGATCAAAAGAAAACAGATTAATTATAATTAGAATGTAAGGAGACAGCGGGTATAGGCCTATGGGACAGCAACCCAATCACAAAAATAACCAAATAGACGTCTAAATGGCAACATACAGTTTACAACAATAGATAGGTGTCCAAATAATATCATCTTAAGTATACTAATTATCTTCAATGTTTTCAGGTTTTAGACATCTCATCAATGGGTCACAGAAAGAGAATATTAGCCTCATTAGGGGACAGATCTCCTCCAGAAAGACAGTTTGCTTCATTGGTAAACAGGTTTATTAATCAGCAATGTCAGAAAATATGTAAAATATTGGACAGAGTTTAGCCAAACTCTACCTCTATTATACAGTTTTGTTTGAGAATTGAGTCTTGACAAAGTTTGCTGAGGAACCTTTAGCAAATGTGTACTTTGTTGAACATTTGAATTTGTGTTTACCTACACCCACGAAATCTTATGAAAATTGGTATCCAACGAGTAATAATGGATTCACCACTACTTAAGACAGATCTGTGAATAAAAAGATGTAATATGTGTCAATAAAGCAGTAACCCAACAATACACATAAACCAGAGACATCTATAGATCAACAAACAGTTTTTTAAGACCTGGAAAATTATATCCAATTCATAAAGTAAAAGTTGCATTTAACTGAACTGTGTAAAGTGAACATAAATACTAACATTATACATAATTGCATCTCTTTCAACAAAATTAGCAGAATTGACAACATGTTGGCTATCTGTGGCCAGAGCATCAGTGGGGTCAACAATTGTACAAGTTTGTGTTAAGGTCACACAGGAAACACACTTCTTCGTGTTAACAGTTTATTTATCCGTAAAATAAAAATATAAAAGATATAAATCCATATCTATCTTCTGTTTTCAAAAGATAAAAAGTCAAAATGAACATACTTGCAGATGTTATTTAGATTATTTTATAGGTCAACTTTCATTTAAATACTTAATATAATTAGGAAGTATACAAGAGACAGTTTGTCAAGTGTTATAAGAGGTTTTTGCCGGATATTTACTTAAGGGGAGGTAATTCTTCACAAATCTTTTTTCATATTCAAATATTATACTAAAGTTAAACTATTAATCTAACAAAAAGCAGAAACATGTTTTATTTAGTTTCATCTTACTATCTATGACTTATTTTTTTTTACAGAAAAAGAAAAGTCGAGTTGAAGATCATCAAGAGAAGAAATCTCCTTTTACAGACATTAATTTGTACAAAGATTATACTAAAGTTAAACCATTAACCTCAACCTCTGAAGAGGAAAATAAATCGTCTTCCAAACCACAGACTCCCTCGGTAGAAAATAGTGATAATGATGAAGTCTTCCAAAATAATGTCCAGGTACTACACTCCCTTCTAATTATAGAATTACCAAGTAGAAATTAAAAACTTGATTGCAATTATTTTGTATCATTGGTTTTGATTAATTGACAACCAGCATACAATTCTCTGTCTACCTGTCTGTAACTTAGAGAAGCCGACATTTTGAATTCCAGAATGAACTGCATGTAATTTCTCCCATAAGAAGCAAAAAAATCTTCTTTTTGTTAAATGTTATTGCATTCTGAGGCTGACAAGAAGCTAGAAAACGCCCAGTGTTTACATTTGAAACTAAATGATACCAATGACATCACCTTGTTTAGGTGCAAGAGAATACTAAAATTGAAATTGATTTGTTTATTTTTCTTTGGAAGAGATAACTGTATTGTATTTGAAGCTTTGCAGACGTTTATCAGTAGTTTTACTGCTGCAAATATTCATTTGTTTATCCACAAATACAATACAGTTATCTCTTGATTATTTATAATGGTGAAGTTTTTATGAATACTATTCTCAAAAGTCCTAACTGTCTCTTGTAAAGGAAAGTAGTAACAATGTGAGTGGCTTATGGTAAACTGTTTCATGAAAGACTCCTAAATATATAATGCAGTCATTGATCCCTCAGCCACTGAAGCCTCTCAAAATTTAGATAAAGATTTAAATAATAAAATAAAAATATACAAAGTAATTTATTTAACTGGGTTTCCCAAAGCATATATCATTTCTTAAAATGGTGCAAAGGGCAGGCAAGTGTCTATTTGTTTCCGTGCAGTAACTTATGTACAATGCTTTTCAAATTTTTGATATGTTGTTGCTGAACTAAATTATATCAAGTTTGATATTGACAATTTTCACTTTTGTTGTTCTATAGTTATGTCCTTTTGATTGCCATAAGAATGACATTTATTAATGTCAGAAAATTGGTCACTGTTATTTTGACAGCCTGTTTGTTTTATGTCTGATATAATAAAGCTTTTAAAAATGTAAAGCTGTTTTTAGCTCACCTCTCCAAAAAGGCCTTTTTAGTAATTGCCATCACTTGGCTTCTGTCGTCGTCATCCATTGTCTTGTTGTAAACTTTTTCAAAGATCTTCTCCTCTGGTACTACTGAATCTATTTCAACCAAAATTGGGGTGAATGATCCTTATGGTTTTTAGTATAAAGCTTGTGTTTTTTAATTGTGGACTGCCAACATACATGGCCAGCATGGCTAAAAAAAGAACATACATGTAAGAGTTAACTGCATTTTTTGGCTAATATCTCAAAAACTAAAGCAGTTACAGCAAAACTGAAATGGGTTAAAATGAACAGCAGGTCAAAATCTATTTGCTCCAATTTTTCAGACAAATCACACAACCTAATTTGGAGTTATTGCCCCTGGAATACTTATTTTATGAAATTCCTCAGTTTTTGGTTATTTTCTTGAAAACTAATATAGATAAACAGAAATTTTAAACAGCAAAAATGTTCAACAAAATTAGATCTACCAATTAGTCTATGTTAATTGATCCCTTATAGGAGTTATTGCCCTTGCCTAATTTTATTACATTTTTGTCGAGCCTTCGACTTTAGTCGAAAAAGCGAGACATAGCGATCCTACATTCCTTCGGTGTCGTCGTCGTCGTCGGCGGCGTCCACAAATATTCACTCTGTGGTTAAAGTTTTTGAAATTTTAATAACTTTCTTAAACTATCCTGAATTTCTACCAAACTTGGACAGAAGCTTGTTTATGATCATAAGATAGTATCCAGAAGTAAATTTTGTAAAAATAAAATTCCATTTTTTCCGTATTTTACTTATAAATGGACTTAGTTTTTCTGCCAGGAAATATTACATTCACTCTGTGGTTAAAGTTTTTAAAATTTTAATAACTTTCTTAAACTATCCTGGGTTTCTACCAAACTTGGACAGAAGTTTGTTTATGATCATTAGATAGTATCCAGAAGTAAACTTTGTAAAAAAAAAATCCATTTTTTCCTTATTTTACTTTTAAATGGACTTAGATTTTCTGTCAGGAAACAACACATTCACTCTGTGGTTAAAGTTTTTAAAATTTTAATAACTTTCTTATACTATTTTGGATTTGTACCAATCTTGGACAGAAGCTTGTTTATGATCAAAAGCTAGTATCTAGAAGGAAATTTTGTAAAAAAATAAATCCATTTTTTCCGTATTTTACTTTTAAATGGACTTAGATTTTCTGCCAGGAAACAACACATTCACTCTGTGGTTAAAGTTTTTAAAATTTTAATAACTTTCTTAAACTATCCTGGGTTTCTACCAAACTTGGACAGAAGTTTGTTTATGATCATTAGATAGTATCCAGAAGTAAACTTTGTAAAAAAAAAATCCATTTTTTCCTTATTTTACTTTTAAATGGACTTAGATTTTCTGTCAGGAAACAACACATTCACTCTGTGGTTAAAGTTTTTAAAATTTTAATAACTTTCTTATACTATTTTGGATTTGTACCAATCTTGGACAGAAGCTTGTTTATGATCAAAAGCTAGTATCTAGAAGGAAATTTTGTAAAAAAATAAATCCATTTTTTCCGTATTTTACTTTTAAATGGATTTAGATTTTCTGCCAGGAAACAACACATTCACTCTGTGGTTAAAGTTTTAAAAATTTTAATAACTTTCTTATACTATTTTGGATTTGTACCAAACTTGGACAGAAGCTTGTTTATAATCAAATGCTAGTATCTAGAAGGAAATTTTGTTTTCTTCCAGTTAACATTACATTCAGTCTGCAGTTAAAGATTTTAAACATTTATTAGATTCATAAACTATCCTGGATTTTTACCAAACTTGGACAGAAGCTTCTTACAATCAAAAGATAGTATCAAGAGGAATATTTTTATTGATTTACTTCCTCATTTTTGTTGAGCCTGCGATTAACAGAAAAAGTAGGCGAGACACTGGGTTCCGCAGAACCCTAACGAATTTTTTAAAAGTTTTTTCCAGAAACTATGATAAATAGTCAGAAACTTTGACGGTAAATATGTTCAGCAAAGTTAGACCTATAAATAAGTCAGCAGGACCGAAATTGTCAATTAAACTCTTATAGGAGTTATTACCCTTGAAAGACAATTTTTTTTCATTGTTTAATTTTTTTAGCAGAAATTATGATAGATAGAGAGAAATTTTAAACTGCAAAAATGTTCAGCAAAGTAAAGACAGTTAAATGTTAAGTCTCATAATGGGGGTAAATACTGGAAGAATCTTCCATATCTCCCCCCCCCTTTTTATACCCCTGTGTGACAGAGTTTGGTTATATAGGAATCCTTGTCCTTATCTATCTGTCCATCTTACTTTAGGTTTCCAGATGAAAGATAGAGAACTTCTATTTGTAATCAATTCAAATGTTAATGACATGTTTTGGACCACTAAAGACAGTTTAAGTTTGATTGTTGGAAAAATTGAAAAAATTTTGGTTTCTGGATAATAAATGGAGAACCCCTTTTTCAAATTGATTGAAATTAATGGAATATTTTGGACAGTTAAAGACAGGTTTGATTCGATTTTCGTCATTTTCACTTTTAACGTTCCAGAGTTACGATACTTTTTTTTTGGAAAAAATCTGAATTTTGTGTTTTCCAGATAATAATTGAAGAGCCAATTTTTAAAATTTATTGAGATTTTAATGGCATGTTTTGGACCACTTAAAACAGGTTAAATTCTATTTCAGTCTTTTTCACTTTTACTGATTAGTGAAGGTTGTACATGTTGTTTAAAACCAATTTATATATTTTACAGGGTAAGAGCATCAAGGATACATCAATACACATACGACCTCCTCATCAAGCTAATACAACAGCTCCTATAAAGCAGTGGCGGCATCGTCCAGAGATGTTAATCAAAGGATGTTGTAATTATACAGCACAGGTGAGTTAAACAGTGGCGACATCTACCTAAGATATTTGATTGTACAACACAAATGTGTTACATGTATTGGCTGAGTAAATAGAGACCACATCTATTGAAGATGTTAAGGATGTTATTGTTAAGATCATGTTGTGTGTTTGAAATTTGCCTGTCTTTCTATAATGATATTTACCTTAAGATTACTGTAAATTCAGAAATTATTGCGTGCATTTATTATTGCGATTGTTAAAAAATGGACATTAATGCGAGTTTAATTATTGCGATTTCAGGAAAATCTGCATACAGATATATGTTTCAGATATCAGAATGCGAGTTCTTATTATTGCGATACTCACCCAGTCGCATTATTCGCATTAATAAAAACCTCGCAATAATTTCTGAATTTACAGTACTCATAGATTAGGCGTATACTACAATCACCTTGATCTTTACATAATTCTCAGCTGTTATATTAAGGAATGATTTGACTTTTGGTCTGGAATGTTATAATGTTTGATACTGTGTATGTGATTTTTAGAGCTGATAGGCAGTCATTATTACCCAGCAAACAGATTGAGTTTCCTGTTTCGGGTCTGATGATATTTACTTAGAATTTAGAAAATGTTCAGAAAAAAGATAAATCAACAGTAATACCATAGGTCTCCATTGTGAGTTAGGAAGCTCTTTTGTTGCTAAACTTTATTATGACAAGTAGAAATATGATCTTTTTGCTTGCTAATGATACCCTGCTTTAAATATAAGGTAAACAGGATGAGTGATGAATCTGAAAGCACATCATATTGTAAAGTAGGTTCATGTGAAGCTTGATGACAAATTTCAGGAAATTTCGATGTGCAGTTCCCTAGGAAAAATGTGATGAAATATTCTTACATTATGTAATAGGATATATACAGGAAGTTGATAAGCAATAAATCGGAAACCTCACATGGTATAGCATGTTCACATGAGATCTGATAACAAATTATAGAAACTCTTATTTCAAATTCCCTAGAAAAATCTGACAAAAATTTCATGCCTGGCCATTATGTGTTAGAATATATAAGTATTTAGTAAACAGGAAGTTGAGGACAGACAGGGGTAAAAAAGCATAAACCCTCCTTCAGAGAGGGATATAAAAAAAATAACTATTTTCATGAGAATATAAAAATAAGATGTGGTATGATTGCCAATGAGACAACTTTCCACCAGTGACCAAATAATGATACAGCTTTAATATAATGTATAAAAGACAAATTAGTTTTTAGTTCACATATGATTGTTTATATATATTTGCAGTATCTTGGATCAACCTTAGTAAAAGAATTAACTGGTACAAGTTCTACGATAGAAGGCATCACAAAATTAAAGGTATGTTGATATTCTATACATTATAATGCTTTAAGACTAATAAATGCTCAGGTACTGGTAGTCACTTTGTAGAAAAATGTCTTGAATATTACACCTTTATTACATCACTTGTGTATTTACTTTGCATAACTACAACTTATCAGAGAAGTTCACATTTAAATTTATAGTTATAACAACTTTGTGATATTTGTTTTCGCATGTCTTCATTGATCTTGATAAAGGATATAGACTGGTGGATACTATTGTTCATTGATGTTATAAAGGGTGCATAATTCAAGATTTTTTTTCTGGTTATAAGGATAAACTTTTGTTTGCAATTTGTTAGTATGTATAGCTAGAATTTAGGACTGCTAGAATAATTTAGTTGTAATAAAATTATATTTTAAGACTCCATTCAAAGATTTCAAATGTACATGAAATTATTTCAGAGAACAGCCTTGAGTAGTTATTAAATGCATCAGATGTTATCATTTTTTCCTATATTTTAATGTAACAATTTTGTTTGATTACTAACAGAGTAAATTTAAGAGGAAAATACAGGTTTGTTGTAAATATCAGTTGGTGTCTGAAGTCTGCATGTTTTAACCTTGTTTAAATTTTTTTTAAATTTGTTGCAATAGTACTGTATTCAAATATTATAAAATAATCCACTTATCCTTCACGTCATCCAATATATTTTCACTTTTAGTTAATTTTATTGTTGTTTCCGTTTAATATATATTTTTTCAGCTTTTCCTTTTGGCAGTTTTTTTTTCAAATAAGATTGAGTTACCTCCCTTGTATCATATTTCATGTGCTCTGTACAATGTTGTGAAATCTACCTTCTTTTATATTATACAGTTTAAAACGTTTGCATTGATTAAGTTCTGTTCAGTTTCTTGTGTTTTCCTCCATTAATTGTGGAGCACTATCCTAGAGTATAGTGCTTTGATTTAAAGCAGCATTTATAATGTTTGAAAGGACATACTTTTCTGTCCTTCCGTTTCTGGAAAAATAAGTATTTTCAACAATTATCTTGTTAACTCCATTGGTGCTTCAATGAATTGTTTTCTATCCCATGTCAGCAAAAGCATATCATTTAAAAATATAAAGTTCAAGAAAATATACTTCTTATGATTGAAATGTGAATGAAAAGTAGCCTCTGTTTCACAAAAGGTTATAGAGGGTCATTCTAAAGCAGGGGTCTGGCCATTGAAATATTGATGTGTTATGTCTACTCAGTTCTTGTGAATATTGAAAACATTCTTACTACAGAAATAAAAACATGGTTATACCATAATGGAACCTTTGTATTGAGTTTTAGGAATATTATAACAGATTTATTGTGTATGTATTGTGTATTTAGGCACACAGTCCCCGATTGGTAAATATTTTACACAAATTATATATGTCAGTATTGCTTATGTACCTATATCTAATTTACTAGTACAAACGACAAAAAGTAAGACCATTTTGAATTTAATTTGCTGGCTTGTCAAATAAACATTTGGCATGTTCCTATAATTTATGCTACCATGGACTTCAATGTATATATATTTTGGACCAAAGACTTTATTTTTCTTTTCTATTTATATTGACTGCTATTTTTGTTGATCTTAAATTGGATGATCTGATATATTGAATGCCTTACATGTATAAAGACATTATCTTTGGTTCAACATTTTGATGATTCACCACTTTTCTCTTCATTTCTTTTCTTTCTTGTAAATAATATGCCATATATTGATAAATAAAGATATATACTAGTTATTCTAATGACAACATTTGTGTTTAAAGTCAGACTAACAAACAATTTAGAATTGTTTATAATACATGTACTATTGTATATAGCAGACCTGAGTGTATGTGATAGGTTTATTCTACATTGGCTAGTGGTATAGGGGGAGGGTTGAGATCTCACAAAACATATTTAACCCTGCCGCATTTTTTGTGCCATACCAAGTCAGGAGCCTCTGGCCTTTGTTAGTCTTGTATGTTTTTTAATTTTATTTGGAGTTTAGTATGACATCCATTTTCACTGAACAAGTACACATTTTTGTTTAGGGGCCAGCTGAAGTCCGCCTCCGGGTCTGGGATTTTCTCGCTGTGTTGAAGACCCATTGATGTCCTTCGGCTGTTTTCTGTTCTTTGGTCGGGTTGTTGTCTCTTTGACACATTCTCCATTTCCATTCTCAATTTTATCTTACATAAGGTTGTATTGAAGATCAGGCTATATTCTCCAAAATATGTGTTTACTTCATGTAGACTGCATAGGAAAATAAGAAATGTATTGCATTTTCTTATATAACAATCTGTTGTGTGTATAAAAATCTGGCTTAATTTCTACTGAAAATAGTCTCATCAGACAAGTAGACAAGACAGTCTTGTCAGTCATTGGATATCTGTTATATGTCAGTGGTTATTTATACTGAAGAATCATATCAATTGATCTACAGTTAGATTATACAGACAATACTAACAGTATAGATTATATATATTCCCTTGTATATGCTTAAATCTTCAAACTGCTTTATATTATCTAAAGGTTCACTCCAATGTATCTAATAATAAAACATAATTTTATTAATTTGATTAGCCATATTTTATGTACAGGTCTTATTTAATAAACATGTTTTTATGTACATGATGAAAAAGAACAGGTTTATTTTACACAAATGGGACCGATACTTTATGTGACTATTTTATAATAGTAAATGGAAGTAAAACCGCAAGAGTTATTCCTCTTGAAACACTTTGTTAGAATATTTTACATGATATGAGTGAAATAGAAATACAATTTTTATTATGTAATTAATATATTTTTGAAAGAGGAGTAACTCTGATCAGACATGTATTTTGTTTGGACTTGTTAAAATGAAGTTATCAAACACAGGTTGAGTCCATTTCCAAATGCAATTGAAAATTGTATATTTTTGCTTTTTTCGTTCTTGATGATTTTTTGTTTTTTTGGTTGTTGGTTGTTCTTTCTTTACTGCATAATTGGTGTTCCACATCTTTTATCATACCTAAAAAGTTTATAACAGAAATATTAGTCATCTGCATTTATTTTGTAGGCTCGGTATTTGCATGACAAGTTGGTATTTTGAACTTAAACATTTCTTTATGGCTAGTAAAAACAGTATCTTTAAACATTTCTTAATGGCTAGTAAAAACAGTATCTTTAAACATTTTTTAATGGCTAGTAAAAACAGTATCTTTAAACATTTTTTAATGGCTAGTAAAAACAGTATCTAAACATTTTTTAATGGCTAGTAAAAAAAGTATCTTTAAACATTTTTTAATGGCTAGTAAAAACAGTATCTTTAAACATTTTTTAATGGCTAGTGAAAACAGTATCTTTAAACATTTCTTAATGGCTAGTAAAAACAGTATCTTTAAACATTTTTTAATGGCTAGTAAAAAAAGTATCTTTAAACATTTCTAGTTATGTTTGCAATGCTTTTTTTTATAATGTAGAATTAATTGTTATTTAGTGTATGGTCATATCTTAAAGAAGCTACAGGTATAATTTGAGTTTTGTTCAGAATTAAAATTATTGTTTAAGTTTTGGCCGTTACTTGAAGAAAAAAACCCTTTCACTTTCTTTTCCCTGTAATGCGTTAATCAACTGATTAGATATTAAGTATATTTAAGGAATAATTAAATGTAATATTTTTTCTGTCTAGGAAGATGTGGTACACACAGAACAACACATGTAGCAGGTTATTTAAAAGTGTGCTCCACATTTTGTTTTTGTTATTTCGAATAGACAGAAAAAATATTACATTCATTCCTTAAAATTAAATTCAAAATTCCATTTTGAATGAGTAAATCATGAAAAAAATGTTGCTGATGTCACAGTCACATGACAAAATTATGTCTATGAGCTGATAGACAAAAAGTTTCAGCCAATCAGAAGACGTGTTACATCCATATTTAAATTATACAGTAACATCATGAGAAAGTATCGATCAAATTTCTTTCTGTTTGAGATTTTTTGCATTAGTTTGATGTTGGTTGTAGAAACAAGTTTTACATGTGTTTTCCACACTTCTGTTTGTTATTGCCTGCATCAATTATATGAAGTTTGAATTTTTCAGGTTGAGTAAATTTAGGAAATGAATACTCTTGGATATATAGAAAATATCAGCTTTCAAGGGGAGAAAAACAAATATTTAGAATTTACTACTCTGTTATTGAACATGGTTTAATGAAATTGTTTGATAATTTAACATAATAATAGATTACAAATCAAGTTGGAGTTGTACACATTTCATGTTAGACATTTAGAGTTATGCCTCTTCATGTATTAACATGATTAATAGCAGCTAAATTTTAGTTTAATGCTTAATATTTTGGATAGTCAATGAAATCATTTGATTTGAAACGGTGCAAGTTACCAATAAACCACAATTGAATAACAGTTTTGACACTCTTTACATATGTTAGGTTCTATAGTTGTGCCTATTAGATTAAATAGTGAGAAAAAGCAGTTAAAGATCGATTTTGGGTTCAAAATTGCTGTTTAGTGCTCTTTTGTTCATATGGGTCAAAACCCTTAAAAGTGGAAATAATCGTTTTGTCTCACTTAGCATTAAAGTTAAAGAAGTGAGACGCATGCTGTTGCAGTTGTAGGCACAAGGGGGAGTTAACAATTTTTAAATTTTATGAATTAGTCATACAAGCCAGACATATTGTATTGGCAATTAATCAATATATTGCACTACATGAAATGGTTTTTTGTGGAGCATGCAAAATTTATTTCGCGAAAGCGAGACATAGCGATCCTCGATTCTGTTGTTGGCATCGTCAACATTTAGATTCAGTCTGTGGTTAAAGTTTTTTTAGACATCAATAACTTTGTCAAACCTACATGGAATTTTATGAAATTTGGACAGAAGCTTGTTTATGACCAAAAGACAATAGCCAGAGCAAAATTTTGAAAATATTTATTTTCATTTTTTCTGTATTTTCTTATAAATGGACTTAGTTTTTATACAACACTACCGCAAAAAATTTTGCGGTCGTATATTGGTATCACGTCGTCGTCGTCCGAAGACAGTTGGTTTCCGGACAATAACTTAAGTATAATTAAATAAAAATCTATGAAATTTTAACACAAGGTTTATAACCACAAAAGGAAGGTTGGGATTTTGGGGGTTATGGTCCTAACAGTTTAGGAATTAGGGGCCAAAAAAGGGGCCCAAATAAGCATTTTTCTAGTTTCCAGACAATAACTTGTGGAACAGTGTATGGATCTCTCTGACATTATACCACAAGTTTCCATACCACAAAGGGATGGTTAGGATTTGCTTTGGGGGTAATGGCTCAAACTGTTTAGGAATAAGGGGCAAAAAAGGGGGAAAACAAGGGTTTCCTGGTCAATGGACAATTAAGACAATTTAAAAGCAGTGTAAGGGAGGTAATCCAAACACAACGTTTTGATTACCTCCTTTACAATGCTTTTAAATTATGTATAAAGAAATTTCTGTATTGTCTTGAGATGATTAGCTGTCAATTTATTTTTAGAAGTTACTATTAAGGAATATTAATTTTAGCGA